GTCATTGTTATTTGGTGGGCCCGGGCTGGATTCGAACCTGCCACCTTAGGTGTTATGTGGTTGGTGCCTTAGCCGCTTGAGCCACAATCTAATCTTTAGACTCTTCCTTCAGGAAAGGTGGGTGCCCTTTCTCAAAGGAGGAGCTCCCACCCAAGCATGTAGTGGAATATGGGGGGAAACCGCGGAGTCTTCTGCACTAGTGATAAGAGACAGACATCTATACAGCATCCTCTCCCGACCCCATGCAGACCCACACACAGTATGCACACCTTTCCTTTCTGCCTCCCTCCTCCTTTCCTCACCTCCACAGGAACTTAGAACAGCTTAGAAACAGACACCTGGGAGTGTGGGATGGATTCACGTGCCCTTCCTGGTATAGGGAAGTCAATCCTGAGCTCAAAGGGGATGATGAAGGGATGGCTTGCCAGTCATTGCTTGACTGTCACTCCCCTAGGAAGAAGCTTCCACCCAGCCTTTGATGAACTGGGTGCATGTAATTAAGACATACCCAGATTCCACAGTGTGCTTACATCAAAGAGCTGTCCAGTCCAGGTTGGCTGTCAGATGCATCTAATTAGGCCACTGTGACTGCTGCTCAGGGGCAAGTAGCACCACCATCTACCATGCTGCCAGGGCTCTGGAAGTGGGTCTCCTCTCTTCAGGGATATTAACCCTGGTAGACCAGGTGTCTAAGACACATTCCTCACTCCAGCTTTGGGAACCAAGTGTCTCTCGTTTGTGAGGTTCCCAAGCCTAAATCTCCAGAGGCCCAGGCTTGGGGTTTCTGCATTTGTCTTTACCTCACCCTAACAAAGCTGTGGTTGGGCTCAATCTCTCTAAGACACCACCTGGCTGGCCAGGGTAAAGGCCTATGACTTGAAAAGTCAGCCAAGCTGGGCCCAGTGGCTCATACCTGTAATCCTAGCACTCTGGGAGGTGGAGGAGGGTGGATTGCTGGAGCTCACAAATTAGGGACTAGCCTGGAAAGCAAGACCCCATCATTACTAAAATAGAAAAACTGAGGCAAGATCATTTGAGCCCACGACTTGGAGGTTGCTGTGAGCTATGACACCACAGCCCTCTACCCAGATAGCTTGAGACTCTGTCTCAAAAAAAATAAAAAAACAGGGTGGTGCCTGTGGCTCAGTGGGTAGGATGCTGGCCCCATATACCAAGGGTGGCGGGTTCAAATCTGGCCCTAGCCAAATTACAACCAAAAGCTGGGTGTTGTGGACAGTGCCTGTGGTCCCAGCTACTTGGGAAGCTGAGGGAAGAGAATTGCTTAGGCCCAGGAATTGGAAGTTGCTGTGAGCTGTGTGATGCCACAGCAGTCTACTGAAGTTGATAAAGTGAGTCTGTCTCTACCAAAAAAAAAAAAAATAAAAAACAAAACCAAAAAACACATGACTCAGCCAACCCCCCCCCCATTCCAGTATCACGAGAGCCAAGTCTGCCAAAATACTGAAACATTTGACTATCTTTAAAATCCATAGAGTCTGGCTTTAAGAACAGGTTGCAGAGAAAAGGCCACCCTCCCTGATTGTATGACAAATGGAGCTCAAGCACTCAAGTTGGCCAGATTGGCAGTGTAAGCACACCATTACCAGTTCCCAAGAGCAGCCTCTAAGACTTAGGCACACTTCCTCCCCTTGTGAAGCAAGGTCTTTTTTTTTTTTTTTTTTTTGAGACAGTCTCACTATGTTGCCCTGGGTAGAGGCTGTGTTGTCACAGCTCACAGCAACCTCAAACTCCTGGGCTTAAGGGACTCTCTTGCCTCTCAGCCTCCCAAGCAGCTGGGACTACAGGCGCCCGCCACAATGCCCAGCTATTTTTGTTGTAGTTGTCATTGTTCTTTTGCAGGCTTGGGTTGGATTCAAACCCACCAACTCTGGTGTATGTGGCTGCTAGAGCCCTAGCCACTGAGCTATAGGCACCGAGCCGTGAAGCATGGTCTTATTGGTCAAGAAATAGTCTCCACACTGATGCTGGAAACAAGGATGAAATCCCATCATTCAGAACAGAAAACCCTGAAATGTAAAATAAAATTAAATAAAAAAAAAAAAAGACAAAAGAAAACCCTGAAATGACACTAAGCACCTCTTAGCAGCTGAAATGAATAGAAGGTAGGTGGACTGCTGCAGGAGGAGAAATGGCTGCCTCAGTTCCTCCATCCCAGTAGAGGGTGACCAGATACCACCTGTGTAATGGCCAAACACATTGTAGAGCAATAAAACCCCTTCCCTCTGGCATGTATGTAATAAAGTATATGAAAACTAGGCAAGCAGAAGAGCTCATGCCCAATTTGGTCTTCAGAAACTGGAAGGACATAGAAAAGCTCACTTAGGTTAAGGTTGAAACTCCATGTAGTTGGTGGCGCCTGTAGCTCAGTGGATAGGGTGCCAGCCACATACACCCAGGCTGGCGGGTTCAAACTCTGCTCAGGCCAGCTAAGAAAAACAATGACAACTGCAACAATAACAAAAAAATACCCGGTGTTGTGGTAGGTGCCTGTAGTCCTAGCCACTGGGGAAGCTGAAGCAAGAGAATCCCTTAAGCCCAAGAGTTTGAGGTTGCTGTGGGCTGTGATGCTATGGCATTCTACTGAGGGGTGATAAAGTGAAACTGTCTCAAAAAAAGAAAAAAAAAATTTCCTTTTGTTTTTTTTTTTTTGAGACATAGTCTTACCCTGTCACTCTAGGGAGAGTGCCATGACATCACAGCTCATAGCAACCTCAACTCCTGGGCTAAAGTGATCCTCTTATCTCAGCTTCCCAAGTAGCTAGGACGACACCCACCCACCATAACACCTGGCTGTTTTTTCTATTTCTAGTAGAGAAGGGTCTCGTTGTTATTCAGGCTGGTATCAAACTCCTGAGCTCAAGCAATACATCCACCTCAACCTCCCAGAGTGCTAGGATTATAGGTGTGAGCCACTGTGCCCATGAAGAGTTTTAAAG